CTGCTACTGCTGCTGCTGCTGTCTTTGAAGACAACAGTGTGACACACATATTCTTAGGTTTTTTCGGTAAAGTCACGTAGGTAAAACATTAAAATTAATAAAAGTAAAATAAAATAAAAATCACGACGTTTCGGAGGCAACACAAGCTTCCGTCTTCAGGTGGAACCGCCACAGCCACGACAGCTGTATCAAGTAAATGAGAGATTGCAGGAGCTACCACTCCGTTTATATAATGGTTGGAGAGGGGAGAAGGGCCAAGTACAGCACACTGTACTTAAGAGGGTGAGCCTTTGTTGTGGAGAGGTACGGTTTGTGACTCAACCTGTGACAAGGAGAAAACAACTGAACATGGTAAACCTGTGACACACAGTCGGCGTTTCTGATGTAACGATGCAACGTAGACGCCAAATGAGCCATACGATGCCAATGACTTACCCGAGGCAAGCCTCGCCGAGTTTTGTGGCTCTCGTTTTCACGAGGATGCTGCTGCGCTGGGATCTTTTGGAGAATAGCAATCAGAGAATGCTTGGCACTGTGATGACGAATACGGCGGAGTGTATTTATTGACGCGGAGCTTTGTCAATCCACTGCTGGACGAAGGCCCACCACACGCCAAGTTGTTCTTGATGGGTTTGTTCGAGCATATTCTTTGGTTCTTTCGGTTAAGTCACGTCTAAAGATAAAATAATAAATTAAATAATAGCATATTACGACGTTTCGATTGCAACACAAGCAATCATCATCAGGCATAAAAGAAATAGCAACAAAAATCTAACTAGAAAACTATAGACAGACATACAAGCAGACAGACATGACACGGACACACAGAGAGAGGAGACATACAAGCAGACAGACATGACACGGACACACAGAGAGAGAACACATGTTGTTGCTATTTCTTTTATGCCTGATGATGATTGCTTGTGTTGCAATCGAAACGTCGTAATATGCTATTATTTAATGTATTATTTTATCTTTAGACGTGACTTAACCGAGAGAACCAAAGAATAATTCCTGCAGTCACGAAAGCTCCAAAATTAAGATTGTTCAAGCATACTTCACCACGCTGGTCACTACGGATTAGTGAGGCGGAGGTGCCCAGCATCAGTTCCGATGTCACTCAACACCGATGTAGGCCACGACTGGGAGTCGAACCGAGGCTGTGGGGCTCGCAGCGCAGCCGCGGAGCCTCTTGTGGTGTAGAGAGCACCGATTATCATCCTCCGATTAGCACGGTTGGCTACGTACGGCGCGAACGAAGTTAAACAAACACACATGCGTGACGCGTATTCATCACGGGCACAAGGAACGCGACAGTCGCTTCACTCAAGAAAAAAACCGCGTGCATTTAAACTTGTTTTTTACGGCGAACAGAGAATTAGGATTGATCGTATTGGCGCCGACTTTAGAGCTGATTATGTGCGGTCCAAAATCATGCGTCTCCTGATAATCATCTGGGATGCGAATATTGTTTGGGCCGGGCTCGTGCCATCAGTTTAATCATTAAATACATTATTACATTCTGGTCAAAGACGTGCATAGAAGAATCACATTATCTGCCTCGAACCCCTAAGTGTTGGATTGATGGTCTTGGTTTATACCGGTTGCAGTAACATCTAGGAGTCAACGTGCATGGCAATCGGAGGCCCCGATTCCAAATCTCTCACCGCCTGTTCAGATTACTGACCTGTGTGGACTCTGTGAGTTTTGATTACTCGATGTGCGTGTGTGTGTCAGTGCTGCGTGTGTGTGTGGTACATAATGTGTGTGGTGAGTGTGTAGTGTGTGTGTGTCAGTGCTGCGCGTGTGTGTGTGTGTGGCACATAATGTGTGTGGTGAGTGTGTAGTGTGTGTGTGTCAGTGCTGCGTGTGTGTGTGGCAAAGAATGTGTGTGGTGAGTGTGTAGTGTGTGTGTGTCAGTGCTGCGTGTGTGTGTGGCAAATAATGTGTGTGGTGAGTGTGTAGTGTGTGTGTGTCAGTGCTGTGTGTGTGTGTGGTACATAATGTGTGTGGTGAGTGTGTAGTGTGTGTGTGTCAGTGCTGCGTGTGTGTGTGGCAAATAATGTGTGTGGTGAGTGTGTAGTGTGTGTGTGTCAGTGCTGCGTGTGTGTGTGGCACATAATGTGTGTGGTGAGTGTGTAGTGTGTGTGTGTCAGTGCTGCGTGTGTGGCAAATAATGTGTGTGGTGAGTGTGTAGTGTGTGTGTGTCAGTGCTGCGTGTGTGTGTGGCACATAATGTGTGTGGTGAGTGTGTAGTGTGTGTGTGTGTCAGTGCTGCGTGTGTGTGTGTGGCACATAATGTGTGTGGTGAGTGTGTAGTGTGTGTGTCAGTGCTGCGTGTGTGTGTGGCACATAATGTGTGTGGTGAGTGTGTAGTGTGTGTGTGTCAGTGTTGCGTGTGTGTGTGGCAAATAATGTGTGTGGTGAGTGTGTAGTGTGTGTGTGTCAGTGCTGCGTGTGTGTGTGGCACATAATGTGTGTGGTGAGTGTGTAGTGTGTGTGTCAGTGCTGCGTGTGTGTGTGGTACATAATGTGTGTGGTGAGTGTGTAGTGTGTGTGTGTCAGTGCTGCGTGTGTGTGTGGCACATAATGTGTGTGGTGAGTGTGTAGTGTGTGTGTGTCAGTGCTGCGTGTGTGTGTGGCAAATAATGTGTGTGGTGAGTGTGTAGTGTGTGTGTGTCAGTGCTGCGTGTGTGTGTGGCACATAATGTGTGTGGTGAGTGTGTAGTGTGTGTGTGTCAGTGCTGCGTGTGTGTGTGGCAAATAATGTGTGTGGTGAGTGTGTAGTGTGTGTGTGTCAGTGCTGCGTGTGTGTGGCAAATAATGTGTGTGGTGAGTGTGTAGTGTGTGTGTGTCAGTGCTGCGTGTGTGTGTGGCAAATAATGTGTGTGGTGAGTGTGTAGTGTGTGTGTGTCAGTGCTGCGTGTGTGTGTGGCACATAATGTGTGTGGTGAGTGTGTAGTGTGTGTGTGTCAGTGCTGCGTGTGTGGCAAATAATGTGTGTGGTGAGTGTGTAGTGTGTGTGTGTCAGTGCTGCGTGTGTGTGTGGCACATAATGTGTGTGGTGAGTGTGTAGTGTGTGTGTGTGTCAGTGCTGCGTGTGTGTGTGGTACATAATGTGTGTGGTGAGTGTGTAGTGTGTGTGTGTCAGTGCTGCGTGTGTGTGTGGCACATAATGTGTGTGGTGAGTGTGTAGTGTGTGTGTGTCAGTGCTGCGTGTGTGTGTGGCAAATAATGTGTGTGGTGAGTGTGTAGTGTGTGTGTGTCAGTGCTGCGTGTGTGTGTGGCACATAATGTGTGTGGTGAGTGTGTAGTGTGTGTGTGTCAGTGCTGCGCGTGTGTGTGTGTGGTACATAATGTATGTGGTGAGTGTGTAGTGTGTGTGTGTGTCAGTGCTGCGTGTGTGTGTGTGTGTGGCACATAATGTGTGTGGTGAGTGTGTAGTGTGTGTGTGTCAGTGCTGCGTGTGTGTGTGTGTGGCACATAATGTGTGTGGTGAGTGTGTAGTGTGTGTGTGTGTCAGTGCTGCGCGCGTGTGTGTGTGGTACATAATGTGTGTGGTGAGTGTGTAGTGTGTGTGTGTCCCCTTGTGCACACACACACACACACACCGTGGGGAGTGGTGGCGTAGTGGTTAGTGCACTGCGGCGTGCAGACCTCGCCACGTGCGTTTCATATCCCGGCCATTAGCTAACAATTCTCAACTGGTTCTGGACCTCCTCAAGGTAGGCTCAGCCCTACGTGAGTACCTGGCGCTCTGCTTCAACGTCAACACGAGGGATACCAACTGGGAACGGCTGCATGCCGTGCTGACCTTAATAGGTGCTCGCAAACAGAGATTGCTCCAAAGCACAACGGCGAACACCCGCACAGTCGACCTTAAGAGGTGCTCACTAAAGCGTCGGTCTTTCCATTGGACGATCACAGTTGACTTATCACAAAATGGTATTAATTTTATCATACCCGAAGGGATGATGTGCTTTCAATCCCCAGCAGGTTATATATGTTGACTCGCGACCACTTCATCGCGAGCTCGCCTGCAGCATACCGACGTCGTTGTTGTGCGCCGCACGTGTTGTTTAGTTTTTTAAACGACTTGTCGAGGTGTTTGGGAAAAAAAACAAACCCTCCCCCCCCCCCCCCAAAAAAAAGAAAGCTCTCACTTTTTTTTGCAGAACCGTTATAACTCTATTAGTTTGCGAGCAGTCGATAAACAGCAGCAGCAGCAGCAGAGAATAATAATAATAATAAGAAGGAAGGAAGGAAGAAAAAAAACCCGCCTGTGAAAACAAATCGACTCGAGATATAAAGGGAAGCTCAATTGTTATTGACATCCGGATTTGTGCTAATGATCTCTTTAAGTAAATAGCACTGAGCCCGCGGCACCCCAGCGTTATCAATACGGAGGCCCCCCGCGGATTCAAGAAGTGGCCCTTTCTTCCAGAATGTCTCCCGCTTCACCAGGTGAGCCTCCCCCCTCCCTCTCTCTCTCTCTCCATCCCTCCATCCCTCCGTGGCATGAAAGCGTCTGCGATGAAGACGCGCTCCTTCCGCGCAACGGACACTGCCGAGAAAGGCGCGCTAATGAGGTCGTGTGAAGTATTGTTTAGGCACAATTATCGACTCGCTTTCATCGACCTCGGTCGCTATCGGGACAGTCCCATGATGCATTGTGACCCATTTGCACTCCTTTCCGAAAACCGGCAGAAGAAAAAAAAATAAACCTCCCCCGACCACTGCCTCTGCATGCATAATGTACTTCATCATCATCAGCAGCAGCATCATCATCAGCAGCAGCATCAGCAGCATCATCAGCAGCAGCGGCACTCACTGCCAGCTATGTTCTAGCCACTGTCGGAGGAAGACCTTCCCACATTTAATTTGTATTTAAAGCTGTCGTGACTGCAGGGATTCATATGCTTGGTTCTTTCTGTAAAGTCACGTAGAAGGGAAATAGTAAAATAATAATAAAACATATTTTTTCCAGAATACCTTCCCACATTGTTGCCATCCATCACGGTCCTGTGATGCCACGATCCGTTCTCGCTCCTGCGCACGAGTTGATCTCGTCACTCCGTCTCCGCGGTGGCTGTCCCCTTGGACGTGTTCCCTCCTCTGAATGCCATTCCCTCGCCGATCTCGCCCACCTGCTCCAGAATGTACTTGTGCGTTTCATTCATACTGGGAGCTGGGCGCTATTGTGTGGTCAGAGCACAACAATAGTCTAAAAGTTGTGGGTTGTTACACCGGTTGTGGATAAACTCAGCACAACATTATCCTCACACGATCGATATAAATTGCGAGTACAACAGTGTGGCTGTCCTGTGGAATTTCGTAGACTAACTCAGCACTGTGAATGGATATAAGTGGCACCTCATTAGCCATTTCAGCAGAGAGACACCTTGGCTTGACTTTTTTTATTCATATATTGTATTCATCATGTGGTCTAACAATGGTCAGCCTATGGAGAGACTGGTGCATGGCATAGGCATTGTCGACTTTCCATCAATGACTCAAAACCGCCAACGGAGATGAGCACTGCCCAATGGCCATGTGATTGAGGTCAAAGGGCAATGCTTATCGAACAGAAATATATCTGTAGAGAGATTTGATTATTTATAAGTATAACCCGTAAAAACAATTTTTTTCACTATAAATCCTTTATATGCGTGGCGGCTAGAGTCCTCTCGTCCTCTGGCTTGAGATGGCTGCCACCTATGGGTCAGATGATTGTCTGCCAGTATTAAGCAATTGGTAATTAAATATTTAATTTGTTTTCCCTAAAGAGTGTAAAATTTTGGAAAAAAAATTTCACGAACATTAATTGTCTCGCACAACGAGTCTGTGTGGAAAATGTCAGCTCGATTGGATCACGGGAAGTGGGTTAAAAAACGACCGAAAGATTTGCACGGTCGTAAGCAAGCAAGCAAGCACGCAAGCACGCAAGCAAGCAAGCAAGCGAACTTAATATAAAGGATTTAAAAATAGCTATTATTGTCTGTGGCGATGTGGGGAACAAACATTTCGGATCCTTTTATCTGCAGTGTTAACCCGTGAAGTTCCTCCAATTAACCACAAAACAAAATGGGGATAACCACGGATAATAGGATGAATTGGCCAACAAAATCCACTTATCGGTGAAGAATATGTGGATATTAGAAGTAATGTAGGAAATTCCCAAAGAATAAGGGGCCTGTCGATACCCACAGATAAGAGGATGAGATTGCCATGCAACTCCATCTATCCGCGAAACATTGCAGTAAATAGTAATGATATGGCCTCGGATAAAGGGAGTATTGAAACTGGACAGGTCTGGTGGATATTAAGCATCACGGATGACAGGGGTGTGGACAAGACGGAGTTCTACTGCTCATGTATTCGCCTGTCACATGTCGTGCATCGAGATTGAAACGAGCCTCCAAATCCACCGATCTGGCTCCTTACAATGCGACTTCTGGACAACACTGAACTGCGGGGTAATTTATCAACGATCAAATTTTCTTGTAAAGAATGCAACTACACGAACATGAGACTGAGCGAGAAATTTTTGTTAAATGTTTTGGCTGCAAGAATATGATGAATTATTTTTTTTCTGCTCATATTGAAGTACTTCATATCCCAAGATTCCATTTGAAATGGCACAAATATATATATATTTTAAAGCCATGGAAATTCCTGTCAACTTTCACTGTAAGAAGCTATTTGGGCAAAACGTGACTGGAAGAGTCTTAAATTTTCCAAAGTGATGGGCTTTGGATTTTAAAATATATTTTTTAAATCTCCTCATAATTTCGCCAGCAAACGGAAAATAAATTGCTGTGCGTGACTGCAAAGTCTCACGAAACGACACTGGCCCTGATTTAGGCAGGGCATATATGTGTGTGCATTGGCAACGTGGAAATGGCCTGCACGCATATTTAAGAATGGTAATGCGCAAAAGGTCATAGATCATCTCCTTCTGGAGCACATTAGCTGTCGAGGCAGCTTCGTTCATTGCTGAAATTAAAACCCCACGGGACACTGGGTTTTAAAGTATTTTTTTAGCGGGTCAGGCAAGACTAGGCACAGCTAATGAGAGTTCAAGTAGTGAAGCTTGTGAGCCGTTTGCTGTCTGCAGTTGAGGGAGAGGGTTACTTTAAAAAAGAAGTAATCCTTGCCTGATTACCAGTAACTCAGGATTGTATCTGTGTCAAGGTAATCTCGTATTTGAAATGCTTAAAGAAATGCAATCCAATTATTTCTTTCGTTTTAAAATGAGTTTTTTTTTTAAATTTGCGAGGTTGATTTAATTAACTTAAACTAATTTACAGCTCGCTGTCAACCAATTGCTGGCCAAGGAAGGCCTTCCCGTGCCTGTTTCAGTCACGGGGTTGCCTGAACATGCTTGACCACGCCAGCCAATGCTCGATGGTAATGGGTCATTCAGATAACGAATTGGCACATTTTGTTTTTACAGTGACAAACCTTATTAATTGTCTGTGTCGGGTGGTGGCGGGTTCAACGACACATTTATATTTACGCGATCTAACCGCCCCCCCCCCAAAAAAAAACCCTCACGGATTTAGATAAAGTTGAGTTACCGATGTTAGCTATATTGTCGGATCCTGGGTTCATCCTGCTGGTGCGCTAACCACTATGCCACTCACCGGCTCCACCCACCTCCCTCTCCTATTAGTTTAGCAGATGCCCTGTCGCTGGTGTTGCCATGCGGCATTGCGTGTTGCGTAAACGGCCCCACTACTTATGCTGATTTACTACGTACATGCGATAATAACTCTATTCTGATTGCGGGCTCTGCAGAATCATCCGTCTGACTTACATGATCATTCCCCTCTCCAGCCACCCCGCCTTGTACGTAAAAAAAAAAGAATTGCCATTAGAATATGATCATAAAAGGTAATCATTCAGTGCATAAAAACTAACGACTATCTGATTACACACCATCAATGGAGTAATGATATGGGATGGGACTACTGGTACTGCCTTTGGTAATGTGACTGCAATAGCTGGCCACTTGTAATATATCACTTTCCAACATTGGCAATGTGTGTTTCTTCATACGTTATCAGCCTTGCTCGTGCACGCTATGCGTGTTTCGATGCACGTGTGTCAATACAATTAGTAGTGTGTATGCCACCCGCTATTGCTGCATCTCTTCGGTTCCAATTGGCAGTGTCTGATGGCAAGTATTGTTAACGGTAAGTGCTGAGTGGTCACACGTCGTTGTGAACAGGGTTTACGTCTGTGCAGACAGTAATGGGGAATGCGCTCCCGATTTTCAAAATAATAAGAATAAATATCCAGATATCAATCCTAGATGTGACATTTTGGGAATCAGATTTTTTTTGTTGAGATTTGTTTCAAATTCTAGGGGATTACAGGAAGCGATTTTTCATGCGAGGTCACTTTTGTGCTCTTCCTGCCAAAAGTGGCATCACGTGGCAGTAGCACAAAGTTGCGATGAATGGCCACTTCTTGGAAACCCATCCGGAAATCTGAATAACATCGTAAATTGTCGTGAATAATTAAAACATGCGATTATCCGAAATCTGCAATATTTAAATTGCAAACTCATCCCTCGTACGTACCTATTGTCCAACATCTGCTGGGAATTAATTTGGAGAATGTTAAGATAGGATTGTTTTCCCCCCGTAGGTTGTCGGCCGTCCCTATTGCACAAACTCCAATGAATGTCTCAACAAAACAAATGAGCAACACCCACGCACAAAACAAAGATCCCTCCTGTAGCCACATTCAGATTGTTGTGGTGAGCACCACTCCAGGTCGCCTTGGCCACACCAGTTCTGAAGTTTACACAACACACCGGATACTCATTTGAGGCTGAGTCGACCTATGGTAAGTCCAGAACCAATGTTGGCCATGAGTAGGAATCGAACTCAGGATCGCTGGGTACGTAGCACAGCGTTCTCACTACTATGCTACCGATTTCCACACATAACGCACACACAGACCCACACACTAATGCAATGCAGTCCTTGGTATTATCTTGCAACCACACACACAATTACGATTATCCATACTTACCGTCTCATGTGTAGGACCGACATGCTTGGGGCAGTGTACACAAAAAACAGAGATGACAAAGATCCCCCGTATAGCCTTAGCATACTGTTGGGGCAAGTGCTGTTAGCGAGCAACCTACTTGCCTAGCACCGTGCAGAGGCTGCCTTTGTTTCCCGAGTGCTAATATTTACATTCACACAATGTACCAGGTAATCATTTAAGGCCGAGTCAACGTTGGGAAAACCCAGGGAAGGTCCATATACCACTGTTCACTGCTGTTATCCATGGCCAAGAATTGAGCACGGGTCACTGGGTTTGCAGTGAGGTGCATTAGCCACCGTGCATGAGGTGCATGGTTCGAATCCTGGTTATTGCTGCGGTTGTATTATGAACCATAAACGTACACGTTGTCTGCTTCACACTGGACGTTGAAGACTCCATGACGTCATTCAGAAGAGTAGGCCATTGTGTACCGCTGTCATGGTCTAAATTTGCCAATTTTTTTAAATTACCACGCAAATTAGTCAACCAGGTGTATAGATTGCGACCATCCACAGCATACTGCAAAAAGGCAACGTTAGCAGGACCCTCCTGAGAAAGAGTCATTATACTCAGTGAGCTTTTCCAGGGTAAACAAGCATGTCTATCTGTGCATACAAGACAAAGATCCCCCTATAGCCTTAACAGATCGTGGGGGCACGTGCTTTTAGCGAGCAGCGCCTATGAAGGCCGGCACGGCAACACCGAGGCGGTGGAGGTGGCCAGCACCGCGCCCAGCACCTCTGTCTCCCGAGCGGTGATGTTTTACACATCGCACCAGGTACTCATTTGAGGCTGTCGACCTAGGAACGCTTCAGATATATTCATCGCAAACGTTGAAACATGAGTAGAAATTTAAATTCAGGCCGCTGGGTTCGTAGCGTCGGGGACTCACCGCTACCCTACCGCTCCACCCCACCGTCTGCATCACATACGCGTAACGCAGACACACACGCAATGTGCACACAGCACGAGTGTTAGCTGATGCTGGCGAGTGCGATGGTGACACGGGGCGAACTCGGCCACTGATTTAGCAGCTGCTATCTGAAGCACTTGACCACCATTAGGAGCTTGAAGCTAAGCAGGCTCTGTGTCTGGCCTACCTCATAACGGCAAGGATAATAATCACCTGCGGGTAAAAAAATAAAACGGATTTCTCTGGTTTTATTAACCACGCGAAAATTCCGTGAATGTTGGCGCTTCATCAGCTCCCATGGTCCTCAGACCCGGGCCGTTTGCACGGCCGTAAATAATTGGAATGTTCACGAGTGGTGAAAACGTCAAGGGTGTATCCCAGCTTCAAATGAGTGCGGGGTGGCATTCATCTGCGTTGGCGAGCCTGAGCCAGTGGTGGAAATTCCACATCCCGAAAGCGGGGGCCAGTCTCCACGTAGGGCGGCCATGTGTTGGCTTCCTACAAAGCGATACATTTATTTTACCCAACCTCTGAAGGATGATGGGCTTCGTTGACCCTAGACTGAGATAGGAACTTGCAACCTTTTTTTATTGTGGCTTGAGTAGTCTAACCACTGAGACATCCAGCTACAGCGATAATTAGCATTCGTGATAATCAGCATTAACCATGGCCAATCCACTGCTGGATGAAAGCTTCTCCAAGCTGCTGCCATCTCTCGCGGTCATGTGATGTAATAATTATTAACATAGCATCCACACACAAGCTGATTCCGATGCTCCATCTTCTCTGTCATAGAACTAAATTCAGTTGCTCAATTACATTCTTACATATTGTAAACCTGCTCTGATCAATTCCGTTTCTAAAAAAAGCTCCCAGCATGTGGAGCGAAACAGCCAACGTTAAATTGAGATGTTTCTGGTTGCCAAACATTGCACTCGGCATGCAAACAGAACGATCTATGAATACGTAATTTAAACAACACCGACTGAGGATCATTTTAAGATCATAATCCGGGGCAAATTCTCTTTGGTGAGTTGCTCTTGCACCTTCATGGATAAGGGCATTTCCAGGTGTATTCATATTTTGCGAAATTAAATTGTCAAAAATTTCTACATCTGACCAGATGGCACAGGGGTCGGGGGGGGGGGGCGCTGGGATCACAGTGGAAAGGTCAACGTTTAAAGGTAAAGATGCGGCCCTGAAATTATGTGCTCACGCCACTGCTGCTGGAAGGCACTAGACAGCCTCAATGGTCGCATAATTGGCCCAGTGTTCCACACAGGCCAAATATCCTCCGATTAGCACGGTCGGTTACGTACGGCGCGAAATAAGTTCCACGTCCAATCGACTAACTGTGGCTGTGACCCGTTTGCTCTGCTCGGTGGGCAGAGGCGGCAAAGGGGGTCGTCAAGAAACTTTGCCAGAGCCTCAACCGGGTGACCGGTGGCCTCTGGATCGCATGTTGAACCGCGTGAACCGCCGTGCGCCGTGGTAGTGCTCCCCAGTTGGGAGGATCTGATCTCACTTGGCGTCATCGAAATTAGGGGCCGTGCATAAATGACGTCACGCGATTTTGGAGGATTTTTTACCCCCCCCCCCCTCGTCACACGGCGTCACAAAAAGTGAGACCCCCCCTCTCTCAAATATGACGTCACAAAGCTCTGTTCACCTCCCCCCAAAATAAAACTTGCTTCAAATCGCTTAAAACTATTGTCATTGTAGTGCGTATTTAATGTGCCGCTGCACTCTGATGTTGTAGGAGAAAACATTTATTAAAAAGTCTATTTAATTAAGTAGAACGTGTTGTCTATATTTATTTAAAGTTGCGCATTTTGATGCGACGTCACATTTATCACCCCCCTCCCCCTCGTCACACATCGTCACAAATGTCTGACCCCCCCCCCCTCAGGTGTGTGACGTCATTTATGGACGGCCCCTTAGTACATCAGTTCTTTTTTTTTGCAATTGGCCAGTACGAGCTGTCCAATTATATGTTGAACTGTTGAACTTCGTTCGCACCGTACGTAGCCAACCTTGCTAATCGGAGGTGTGCAGGACAACAAACTAAATACAAAAAGCCATTGGGAGGTCTGTCCCTGGCATAGGAATGTGGACTTTCCATCACTGCCTCAAGACATCCAATGGAGGTAATTTTCTCAAAAAAGTATCTTGAAACAAACTTGTATTTAGATGCTTTATAAATTCATAGTCATTATGGTGAGATTACTGTTTGACAAAAGTATAATTTGTCAAACTATAAACCGCACAAAAATATAAAAAAAGAATTATTTTTTCAGAGCACAACTTGTATGTAACGCGAATTCGGCGCGTTACCTACGCGGAGGGCCTGTCCGTGTGAGTGGAGAGGCATTTGCTCGCCAAAGAAAGTAGTTCCCACGTTGGCGACCCAGACGTCACCCCACGCTGTGGAGCGCGGCACATTTATAAATGTGCATGCACTGGCGAGCACCACAATGTTTTTAGTGCTTCGCTGTTAATAAATTATGAATGTTAAACGTAAGTTCTCTAAACGATGTTGGCTTGGCGGCCGATCAGCTGACATCATTTTACAATCCATTACGCAATGCACTGAACCAAGACATTGCGCCTTCGTGTTCGGCTGCATTAAGGCTACTTTTGGCCCTCTAAGGTGCGAATTTTATGTTTGTAATTACGTTTTACCCACCGTGAGAGGGCAGGGCTTTGTGACGGAACAAGAGGTGTCATCGACAGCTGTCCTCCACGCCACAAGTTCTGCTCCTGGAGCGTCCAGTAGTCCAACGCTCGGTTGGACGTCGCTCCCTCTGCGCTGCTGTGCCCACAGTCTGGAACACCACCCCCCCCCCACCCTTGGATGTCCACACTGCGGATTCCCTCCATGTAGCCTGTGTAACAATTGCAGTATGATGAGGCAGGGCCCATTCCAGATGGCACACGTTTAACTATTTCTCCTTTGCACGTGAGTGGATATTCTCTCTCTGTCCATCGGACATGTACACTCGTTTTCAGGTCAATCCGACACAAACATCTTTAGCGGGTTCATCCGAATCTTCATTGGAATGTTCATACTGTATCTAGACCAGATTTTGGGGTTTTTCAGATGAGTACAAAAAAATCGGAAAAAAATACCAGTCTCTGTCTGGTATTTGTATACAGCCTGGCAATGCCCCATTGCAGGCAAGATGAGCCTGATTAAGACACACGGACAGTAACGATAGTATGTTCTGTCCCTTCGAAGAACATCCCATAAAAAAGTGTCAACCGATTAGACTCGAAATGGAACATTACTGGGTATTCGTGAGTTGTGCGTGCGCCCTTCGCAAGCATACGCTGCCTCTCCCCAACGTGTTTTGGGGTTGGTTGTACCGCTTGTGCCTTATTCGGCACGACGCTTGATGTTTAGCCTAACGTGCTGGCAGCTTCTTCAGTCCAGAAGAAGCCGCGTTGTGCTGTACCGCTCTCCGATGTGTTTTCGGATTAATCCGCGAGTGGTTTGCCAGGTAGTCGAACGTTCAGCTCCGCGTGCATGATGAAGCTCATTTGCGATGGCTCTGCAGCCCAACTGCGAACCCTACGCAAGAGTATACACTCCCCCTATAGAACAGCAGCCTCTTCTCCAGAAATCCATCGATATTGGGTGATTCCAAAAGGACAATGAGATGTGACAGCCAGATTTCTGCTTGCATGTTGAAATAATGGGGCCCCATCTATAAATGGGTGGAGGTATCGGGAGGCGAGGCATCAGGTTTAAGGAAAGAAATGCTCCCGATGGTGTTTATCCCCACGTTAAGTAGAGGATCTGCCTCTTGCAATCTGAAAACGACCGCATTTATATGCCTTTATTCGCCGCAATATTCATCTTATCGTGAGTGTTAGGCTGCCTGGCAATGAATAGAGACTCGGAGCCATTTTTCACCAGATGAATTTTGCTTCTGCCCTTTTCATTTGGATATTGTCTTTCTTGCAAAGTGACTGCAATGCAGAAAAAAACAACAACCCATACGTGAGAGGTGGCCTGGTTTGCCAGGGTGGTAATACCACTGAGAGCATGGCGTTGACACTGCTAAGATCCTGGGTTCAGACCTGAGCAGCCGCCCACTATTGCCGCGAATTGAGCCATTATTTAACACGTGGGAGGCTTTCGCGACCAATATCATTCATAATCAACGTTTTTGGGTTAGATCGCGTTATTTATCAATGTGTCGTAACCCTCCACCACCCGACACGGCTAATCAGCAAAAAAAGGTGCACGTTGACAAAAGACAAATAGTTCACTGCTTTAGCCCACCCGTGTGTTGAAGCGTGAAACCACAACATTTACAATTTTTGAGTACGACGTTTCGCTGGTAATTGCATCCAGCATCATCGGGCAATTCGCCGGAATTAACCAGCGAAACGTCGTACTCAATTTTTTTTGTAAATGTTGTGGTTTCACACTTCAACACACCGGTGGGCTAAAGCATTGAACTATTTGTCTTTTGTCAACGTGACACTTTTTTGCTGATTGGCCGTGTCAGGTGGTGGAGGGTTACGACACATTTATAAATAACGCGATCTAACCCAAAAACGTTGATTATGAGCCATTATTATCACGAGCAATGAGTGGACAGTCCAGGTACAGCCACCGATAACTTAACAAATAAAAATAACATTTTGTTTGTCATTCAGTTTTGCATGCGCATCCTGTAGGACATACGGTAGGTGTGGAAGCTCAATGTGCCGGAAGCTTCTGCAAGAAATGAATTGAGCTGCTCGATTCAATGTTCTCACACGGCATTCACGGCAAGCCTAAGCTGATATATTCGAATTCCTCAGGAAGCTCCCAGAACTCGGAGCGAAACGTCGCACAATTGCGCCCCAAACCAAGACCTGGAAACGCGTCGGAGACCTGTGCAGCACAACTGCAAAATCCTACAGAGTAACGCTACCAAAAATGAATAATACATCCTATAGAGTAACATACGCGCTTGTTTATTCACAGCTCACGTGAACAGGGCAAAGTCACCCACAGCGAACGTATTGAGTCTCATCACAGTTTCGTGAAGTTTCGTGACCTTGAATTCTCTCCGTGACTCCCGTAGGGCGTGACGGAAGCGGTACGGTCATTCTTCATGAATTATTACACGAAGCTGCATCTCCTGTGAACCAGCTTGAGGCTCTGATGCATGTTCCTGCCTTTTCATTTTACGATCCCCTATGAGAGTAGGGGGGGGGGGGGTTCCTTTGGAACGACAGGAAATTTGTGTTCCTTCCTTTTTAATGATGACGGGGGTAAAGTATGGTATTTTCCGCCTGTCCGCTTCACAGTTTGAATGCGTCTCGCCTAATGAATTAAGTCAATTGTCAGAGGTGGTCGTGCAGTCTAGGAGTGTATTGCTCACGTCAGTGGACTGTGCCAACAGTTGTGAAATGCTGGGTTTGAATTAGGATTGCAGCGATATGGCGATACGATGATATACCATATCATTTCAGGTCCAGATAATCGTATTATCTGTTTAGCCAATCTATTATTTTATTTTGATGATCAAAATTCAGTTTATTAACATTATTGTTTTTACTTCGTGAAGAATTAATAAAAAAAGAATGCGGTTTATATTTAAGAAGGGAATAATATAATAATATGCACAATTGTTGACTTTGCAAAATACTTTACCGAATAATTGATTGTATGATGTAGATTTCAAAACGTATTGCGTTAACTGACAGCATAATACGCATCATAGGTTGTAAAGCTGCAATGATAAGAAGGCTTATGGGCAGGGTTACGTTGACTAAACTGCAGTTGAAGAACGTTGATGCCATCTTAATTCTCACGGAAAGTATAGCAAATTCCAACCATAAAGTATAAAAAAAAACGCGTGAAATACAATTACAAAGATACGGGAAACCGACATCCCGGTAATTATCACTTTGTGAAATTTGATATTATATTGTGAAAATGTATATCTCGGCATCAGAGCTTACTTAGTCACTAAACCAGTGCTTACTTAGTCACTATTCTGCAGGGTGGGATGTAAACAACACCCACATTCGAAAGCAGTGGAGAAAACAAATGAACACTTTTAGCTCGTCAAGATTCCCAAGCGTACTGTGAAAATGACAGAGAGCCATACAGTTCACTGGTAATGCCCGAGACTCAATGTAGGGTTTAAACATACCAACACATCACCATCGAGAATGACATTCATGCCACAACACTCGGCCTCCTCTTTGGTTTCCAACCTCTGGGTGCCGTGCCAGCCTTCATAGGTGCTCGCAAACGTCACTTTCCCAAACCTCCAATTAGTACGGGTTGGCAACGTACGGTGCAAAAGAAGTTCAGCATACATATACCCAACTCCTGTCCTAGTAACCTGCTCTCTTCCATCCTGCATACAGGCGCTGCCATCACCACCTCCTCTACCTAATTATAGCAAATATAAGCAGAGCATTATGTGTGTTCACGTATACATTACTTGTGATTTATTCCATCAGCCTATTGGTTTTCTAGGCCAACATTATCCAGCAGTGTTTGTTTAAGCAGGCAAACTCTGGACCAGTTTACACCTTCTGCGTCTCATCAGCAGTAATGCTCGGCAAACAAGTGATGTTGGGTTACCAGCTGTAATTGGCCAGAGCACTTCGTCTAAACTATGAGACCCTGATTGTAGGTGGGGCAGAGAGAATGTTGGGAATTTTTTTTTATTGCATGACAGGGGTAAGCAAGTTGGAAAGTTCAAAATAGAACATGGCAGGAAAGCATTGTAACGAGACAGATATGATTAATTCGTGTTGTGAATGCCAATGTCAAGACGTACAGCCTGGCTCCCCGGATATGACACTTTCACCACTTCATTACAAGCTCACAAGTGCTAGAGGACTGAGCGGCAGCGAGTCTTATGCCGTAATAATTTAATTGCATTCTTATATCCAAGCGACTGCGGGTTAAAGGGCCGGGAATTGTGGTGCCTCACCACCACCGACTTCCGTTAATGCATCCCGACGGGATCCAATTAATGAAACGACTTCGCGAACAATGCCCCTTTTTTTTAATAGGGCGATTGCAAAATACAGGGGGAGGCTTGGGGTAGGGTGGGGGAGGAAACGATTTGCACTCACGGCGCAGACACTCGGACACAATTAGGGATGAGCGCGGCACGCGCGGGCAGATTAAACACATCAGCAAAGACTGCGGGCAACCTTTCATCGGGCGTGTTTATATATTGCAGCAAGGGAGGGCAAAAAAAAATAGCGGCACCATGCCACTTCTCATTTTGGGTAATTGTTCGTTACGTCGCCGGCGCTCGAGCAACATAGAAATTACGCCGACGGATGAGTATTTTATCCCTTTTAACGCGTCGATTTAGCGCGCGCGAGGATTTATGCTGCGCGTGACAGCAATTGTTTGACCGAGCAATTTAGTTGTGCGGCCGTGTTGTCACGTTGGGCTAAACGAACGCCCCTATTCATTGCGTGCGACACCATAACGGGCGGAGGGGGTCGTGCATTTAGAGGCCTGCGAATGAAAAATCGACGTAGCAATTTTTAGGCAAAGTCAAATTGTTCTCCCAGATCTCACGGAAGAGCTGCGTCATGTGCATTTCCATTGATAGCCACTCCACACCCGTACCGGTGGCAACAGCCACTGCATAGGGTGACCCGTTCACAGTTACGACGACGGTGTGATACGATGCACTATAAAGTGACTAAAACGGCGACTGTTGTAAATTATATATCAAGAATGGCTGGAAAGATTAAATGTGGCACAGATGTCATTGAACGTATACGTATGACTACAATTTAACAATTTGAATACCAAATTGTTACATTTTGATACCGGGCGAGAGTTTGATTGGTGTTACTCTGAAGGCATGGGTCACCCTAACTTTATACATTGCTTTACGTC